GGTTTGATTACGCATATTACTGAAATTAACGCTTTGTGTGGGGGACAATTTGCTTTGGACATTTGATCTTTTTTTCTCTCTAGATAATCGGAGTTCAAACATTGCTAGTAACTAATAAAGTAGAATGAAATAACCATCTGAAATTTTACAAGCACTTGAATAGCATGTGCTGGAATATCAATGATCTTGGGCGCAGCTTGTATGGGATACCTATCTAATTTCATCTCTCACCGTAATGAAATGTAAATATTGAATTCATATGATCTGATGATAATTCAAATGCGCTTCCAATTTTAAACGCTTGAATCGCATTTCTCTTTTGTTTCCACTTGTAACTTGAATACGCGGTAAAAGTTTCACTCTATCAAAAATGAATTTATTGAAATGGGAGCATAGTTTATAGAATTATGAATCTAATTTCTGCTCTCTTGAGATTAAATATGATGACCACGTCTTCTAGTTTTAATGTAATCTAAGTAAGATGCAGCTGAAATTTCCAACCTCCTTTTTACCTGATATTGGATACACTGTATTATATTTTCGAAAACGAACCAGAATTAGGGTATTCAGGATTTGAAATCGATACGTATATGATTAAGATATAGAATTTTGCCAAATCATTATGTTTTATTTGCAGTAAAGGCTCATGTTTCCGTTTCCGGCCTTTCACCCTGTAATCGATACGTGTTGATTTCAAATTTACACGAACGTGTGATTTCGTGTATTAAATCGTCTTTTTTACAAACATTCTTAATCCATTTGTCACTACTCTGTCTGTATCAGACATTTCTTTAAATTCGTTTTCAGTAACATGCCCACTGTTGTTATTGTTGTTGTCGTCATGTGTGTTGTTTGCTATTTTTGTTCTAATGTGCCTCAGTTTATCTGTTGTGTTTGATTGTTGTGCTTTTTGAATTCCTCAGAATTAATGCCCTTGGGGCTTTTTCAGCTGTATTCTGTGGGTTTTTTTTATCTGTCTATTGATAACTGTTGCTCTTTTCAATCACGTTTGGTTTTTATTTTATATCAGTAGGTAGTTTTATATTCAACTATATATATGTGTGTATTACTTTTATAATCGCAATGTTTTGTGCTATGTTTGTTTAACGTGTTGTTGCTCTGAATGCAGTTTGTAAGAAAGTAATGAAGTGGTATCGATACCTCGGGACTTGTGCCAGTCCTATCTCTTATGTAACTCATTGATTTTGTTACTCACCTATTTACTTATGTTGTATTTTAAGTGGTTTTTAAATTGCTTAACTTTAAGATTAATGTAATTTCAAGTTATAGTTTAAACATTTACAAAAATGTCAAATGGTTGTACATGTACATGTATTAGGCCATTCAAAGTTTTTCTTATGCTTAGTCTCCACCGATAAATTCAAAAACCTATATTTCCAGCAGGACGAAAAACAAAGGTCAAATGGAAAAAACACAATAATGAAAAGTTTATTACTATCACTCGAGAATATTCTTTGTATTTTAACAAAACTTTTTAATATTATATATACAAATCCCAATTTTTGACCCAAAGTTTTAAATGACTGTAAAATAAAAAAAAAAAAATGATATGTCGATCCCAATAGATTTAAAAACCAATCGTGGTCCGCGGACGCCAAACATAGGAAAAATTGGATTGGCCTTATCACATAATAGTTGTCTTCAAGACTTGTGCTTGTATCCTCCTGTTTTCTACCCCCATAATTGTGGATAGAGTGCTATCAAACATTTTTCGATTGCTCCATGGAACTTGATTTTTTTTAACCTTATTTTGACCATTGCTATGCGAATCCCAGCGACAGCAAATTTCTTATTATCCAGTTAAGATAGAAATATACTTATGAAATGAAATGCAGGAATCGGGAATGATTGGTCGATTAACGAATGCTGTAGTCTGTCTTTGAAACACAGCAGTGGATTAAAATCGTATGCTTTTATTTTCAAATTAAATAACCAATAGCAACTTTTCGTGCCTTTCCGACAAGCGGAAAAACAACGCTTGCAGGAAAGGTCCGAGAAAATGCGATTGATTTAATCACCTTAAACTTTCACCCATTCAGAAACTCAGGTAGCAGTAACTTGTAGTATATATAACTATTTCTTAAAGTTTTATTTTTAAAATAAAACATTTTTTTCTTGTGATCGGATGCTGGTTATTTGTCAGTGAAAATTCTGATTATTTATTTTATTACTAGTATTATTTTTATGCCACCATTAGAAGAAGGGAGGGCTTATTGCTTTGCTGCTGTCTGTCTGTCGGTCCACCAACAGTTTTCGTTCATTCTCTTCGCAGAGGATGCACATACTGAAATGGAATTTGGTATACAGATTTATCATAAAAATATATATAGGTCAAGTTCGCTTTTGGTAATGATTGAGCAATTTTTGACAAAGTTATGCCCTTCGACTTAGAAAAATTCCAATTATTTGGGGAGGTGGGGGGGGGGGGGGGGGAGGGCATAAGTGTTTCACAAACATCTCTTGTTTTTTTTAATCAGATGCTAAAACATATAAACAAACCTCGTTTATTCATTTATCACAGTCTTCATTACATAGGATATATATAATTAGAGAGAGAGAGAGAGAGAGATCTGGACACGCTTGTGTGCCCATGCAGTCAAATCGTCCGGATTAATGCAGGCACTTAGTTTCGTTTTTGAAGTGTGGGGGGGGGGGGGGGGTTCGATCAGCCAGAGGAAATATTTGCAACTTACCTGAAAAACTTTGACAAGCAAAAAAAAAAGGAGGGGGGTAATATAATTCTCCAAACTCGAAAATCCTATTTCGGGGGAGGAGGGTGGGTGGGTTAGCTTTTCAATTTGCTCCATAACCAAATTTTATTCAGACATTACCACACCTGATAAGACTATAGATATTGGATCAAAAATGGGATGGGGGGTGAGGGCAACAGCCTTTAATGAACATTTTCAACAGTAAAAGGTTATGCCTGTAATGTAACATCAAGCTTGCAGAGGGTGTTCAAATGTAACTTTTATAAATGGTAGACATAAATGTAAACTCCCCCCCCCCCCCAAAAAAAAATGCATGTTACTGTTTTCATTAATATTATTTGTTGTTGTTAATTTATGTAGATTCCTATATTGTTGATTTTTGACGATTCTAATTTATCATTTTCGAGTATACCCTACTTGTACTATAATTGTGTTAATATACCGTATTTTTTATAATTCTATAGTGTATCTTAAAGGGAGAATAGCTTTTCCGAATGAAGCAATAAGTACTGATGAATCTGAAAAAAAAACAGGTTTTGGACAAAGAGGACGGTGTCTCCTAAGAAGCTTCTTGATCATTCTCAGAATATTGCAATCAATTTATATAACCAAGTAATATAATATGTGAACACGTACTTTTCCTACAAAATCCATTCCCAAATGAAATAAAATATTGCCTCGTCTTTATGGAATCAAATATCAAATATGCATTCAAAGAATCCGGGGGAAATTTGAGTGCAATCTTTTAGATTCGATGACAGTTTTTAGCTTGCAATTGTAAACTGGTATAAATCGGCAAGAATCGTGATTTTCAGATTCCTTAATTGCGTCAGGTGAGAAAATATTAACAAACCTCAGATGTAACCCCGTGATATTTATCAGTGTTAGAAGATTTTATATTAAACTCAACTTAAAAGACAAAATTAAAAAAAAAAAGAATATCCAGAGTAAGTTGATGAAGGATATAATATGCCATAATACACCGATTTTCTACATTCAGGCCCGTAGGAAGCAAATTCAGTTTGGGGGGGGGGGGGCACAGCCATACATTTTCAGTTTAGGGGACACTATCCAAAAATTTCCTGACAAGCAAAAAAAAAAAAAAAGTCGTCAGACGTTTTTTTGAGGGGGCACAAGCATAAAGTATCTAAGTTTACTATAGTACTATATATATCGACCCCCCCCCCCCGTGCCCCCAGGTTCCTACGGCATTACATTTTCAGGCCCGTAGCAACGGCTTTAAAAAGTGCGGGGGACAAGCAAAAAAAAAAAAACCTAATTAACTGTCCAAATCCTGAAATTTGACAGAGCAACACAAAGGATGGGGGGCAGCATCTAAAGGAAAATTTACTATAGGAAAATACTATACTCAGAAAAAATTCTACCTTTAAAAAATTGAAGAGAATTGATTCCTCGAAAGAGAACCGTAGAAAGCTATTGAAGGGGGTAGCTGCAGAACTGTAGCGTTATGGTTTTATATTTTAGTCTTTGACAACACGCGAGTTATGGTCAAAGACTAAAATATAAAACCATAACGCTACAGTTCTGAAGCTATTAAAGGGGGAGAAACCCTTTGAACTGCACTCCATCGAAATTGATCAAAATTTACATAGAAACTCGGTGGTATTTTTTTTCAAGAGTATGACCCCCTCTCTTAAAATCGCAGCTGCGGTCCTGTAGTTGATAAGCACTACTTTGGTACCCTGTGATGGTATATGCTTCAGATACGTATAATTCATCGTGACGGTTATTACTATGTTTAAATATAGTAGAATGATTCATGAATTGTTGCTTTAGCTTATTGTCGATAGAGAAAAACACATGGCTTCTTCCCAACAGAGTTGTTAATGAATGAACAAAATATAATAATTTTAATTTCATAAATAGCAAACATCTCATATAATCTTTTTCGGCAGCCCCCCCCCCCCCCCCGTATATGAATGTATGCTGGCTGAATGGTATACAAGAAGTTATACCCACCTCTTTTCTCATAAACGCGAAAAAATACGAGAGCGGATCAAAGATTTTTAAAGGTTGTTTAAATGCAGTATTTGAATTTGTATCGCTGTCATTCGCTGATCCTCACTTTCATCCAGCACCAGGGGGAGAGGACACAAATAAAGTAAAGGATGTGTTTAAAAGGCAAAGAAAATAGGGAAATGTAATTAGCCTGTTCTGAACATTATTTTGAACACATTTTGCCATCAGAAAAAAATTCTATTAATAATGTGGAGATATTTGATCCGCCAAGTGTTTGCCTCAGAAGGCAAAACACTGCTCTTGTAATGTGCGCGTGAAGTAAGTTGTGTGTGCGTTCCGAACGCTAGACTTAGTGTATCAATATGGTGTATCAGGTATCTCTCCTCTCGGCTTACATAGAGTCAATAGCGCCGGCTCGATTTGGTTTAACTACCATCACGTTAAGCAAAGCAAACGGGCGCCATACTGCTACAGGATCAAACTTAATCTGGTCCAATCATGGAAGATTCAAAGGGTGGACGACTTTCTTCAACTGAGGAAACTTCAGATGACAGGGACGATGATGTGTCTACAGCAGACGAACCCAACTCAGAAATGAAGGTAGGATCTTGTCTGTCGTCTGATTATCGATAAATTTGGCGGGAGTTTCATCTGATTGCTCTAGGGTAAAAATTAATTACAAAAGTTTAATGACAGAATTGAAACATTGCTTAGCTATTCTCATTTCGTTGAGAGAGAGTTTCCGACGACCGAGGAAAAAAAAAATACTAGTTTTCAATTTAAAGGTGTAATGTTCAATGGTGCTTGAAGAATTTTGACGAGTTGTGAATGAAAAACGAAATTCTCTTAGAGTCTTTGTAAGATCGTATCTACCCTGATTATCAACGTACGATTTAATCTGTTCAGTTTTTTTCATGTTTAATGAGTTTAAAATGCAACATTTTAACTCTTTAATGCAGTCTACTGCCCATACAACATTAAATAGATTGATAATCAGTTCCTCAAACAATTGCCCATATTGTTCCTTTGCAAGGTGATCCTTATGTAAAATAAATAAGTAAACTTCTTGTATAATGTGCAGAAATTTCAGTGTTCGAAATACATGTAACATGAAATGTGAAAGAATATTGAGCAATTAATGTCAAGAATGGCGGTTTCTATAGTTTTCAGTATGAACACCGAATTGTGATGTTACACTGCTATCGTCAACTGTATCAGTATTTCTTAGAGCCTCTTTCTTCCAGGTCCATTCTTCTTTTTCTCTGAATTGATTATTCATTCTTGGCTTTTTTTCTGCTTCATGAAAATTGATTTTCTCATAAATCAAATGATTCTCTCTTAGCTATATCACGAAAAGGAGATCTTGGTATGATTTTCTTCGTTCATATTTGCCTTTCAAATGTACCGTCCATTTTTATGATCTTTGTTAGATGGATTTTCTAGTTGTAGCTAGACTGCCATTTTCACTAACTTTTCATCAACTTTTCAAACATGCACCTCCTGTGAATTGTCGGTTTCTGCCCTCGAAGATCACATGATGATGTAAAAGAAAGCAGACGATAACGCACACAGAGGCGTTCCATAGATTCTTGTCCATTTTTATAAGAACCCTTGTAACCCAATACCCCCCGTTTCCCGCTTTGTAAAAGATGTAAACAGGAACACGTTTTGTATATTATGCACGTCGATGCGCGTGCCAGAGTGTACTCCAAAGAGAAGCTACCAATTGCAAAAGAGTCGAGCGTCTTCATCTAAAATTAATTTTTACCACTTAAATTCACCTCAATCACCGATCATCTTGACTCCACTAGGAACGTCGGAGCCTTAATAAGACGATTCAATTATTCAAATATTTTATGCAATATGAGGTTCTTCTCGCTAAGTGTTTTCTGTGGTAGGCAAATACAGGGACTCGAGCTTTAAATATTTACAACTTTGATCATTTTGTAGTTTTTAATCTTTAGAACAAATAATTGAGATCTATATTCAACCGTCTGATATACATAATCATACAGAAATCAAAAACATCAGAAAGAATTTTAAATTCTAGCTCTCAACTAAAATTATGAAAAAAGTAATGGCTTTCAATGGTTTGCAATTTTACATTTTCTTTTATTTTACTGTTCTTTTGTTTAAATATTTTTTGTTTGAAACAGGACATTAGTTTTCTTCAGTTCCTTAGCTTGATTATTGAATTCATGTTTTGCTCAGTAAATCTATTGTTTCAAGAAGTATTTGTCACTGATAATTTCCCTCATTATCTGCCCATTAGAGTTTCTGCAGCAAGTCTGGGTAACCACAGGAAGTGCAGACGAACTGTTGGCGGGCACCGGATGCCCCATCAGAAGCAGACGACACGCCATTCAACAATCCAAACGTCTTTATGACAAAGATGCTTCGGATTCCATTAGACCTTCTATCGATTTCCTACAAATCATCTACTTTAAGTCAAGAACCTATATTTACTTTTTGCAATGAAATAGATAAAGTATTGATTATTCTTTGCAGAATTTTAGAGGATTTCTATACATTTATGACACTTTTCCTGGCAATCATGTATCTTGTGTTTGTTTTTTCTTTGGGTCAGGTTCTAATTTGATTTTTTGTCTACTCAGTGCTGCCTAGTTAAGTGGAGGAGAAATGGTCCAACAAATTAGAAAAAAGATACCCATTTTCCCGACAAAAGTAGTTTCAAAAGCATGTTTAAGCAAACAGTGCTTACTTATACATGTATATAATATCAATCTACCTATTTCTCTTTTAATATCTTTTATATTTTGGATTATGTTATTTGTTCTATTCTTTACTGACAAAGGAAAAAAAACCCATATACCTATCTTGTACTTGAAGTCTTAAAAATCAAAGACCCTCTGGCTCTTCTCTACAATTCTCACTGTGTTTTATCTTGTTAACAGTAAAAACATCAGTCAAGATGTCTAATAAATTATCAATAAAACGCAGAAGCTTAACTGGATTTTTTTTTCTACCAGTTATTTATTTATATCCTCCAAAACTTTGAAAATCTTGTGAAATTGGCCTTTCTTTATTTGATTTGTTTAAAGAAATTCTCTCAATAAATCGAAGATGGAGAGCATTTTAGTAATAAATTTAAAATAGTTGATTCTGCCTTTTTCATTGCTTTTCTCTGTCTGAAATAGATAAGCATGTTTTGGGGGTTGTCAAATTGCTTGTTTAATGCGGTGGTGAATGAATGCACAACTCATTTGAATAAAAAGTTAATTAAGATCTTGCCCGTGTCTAATGCAAATTACATGTTACTGTTAATTGTTAATGAGACGGTATGCCGTTTAAAACTTTCACATTTTAAGATTAAGTACCTAGAAATATGTTGCCACACACATTCACAGTCTTCAATCAGTCTTCTTATGTATAAGAAAAAAAAACAAAAGGATTTAGCATTGTCTGATTTTTTTAGGTTCGTAAACAGTTTTGAATTGGATTATTGTTTTTTCGCATTTTCTAAGCAAAGTTTGGGGGTTTTTTAATTCAAGGTTTAGATTTTCTTGCAATATGATAGTTTAACTTTACAGATCTATTTCGTGGTCTTTATGGCTGCAGTGCAAATACTTAAGTAAAAATAAAGCTGTATGATATAAATACATTTTTTTGCCATTACTACCAATTTATTGGTAAGCCTTAGGACCAAGAATTTGGAACCAATTCAGAATGGACAACTATTTCCATATATCTATAGGCATTTTGTACAGGTCTACATTTTTATATCGACTTTACAAAATAAAAAAGAAAGGAACTAGGTCTTCTCATTTTTAATTGATAAATGGCGATGTTGATGTTGCGAACAGGAATGGTTCGTGAGAAAGGGGGTAAATTAAAGAAGTCAACAGGAAAGTATGTAAGAGAAGACATCTTTTGTAAAAAGAAGAAAAAAAACAAACACGGCTATCGGATTGCACATTGTTTTACACGTAAACGACACAAGGTGTCACTAGTGTGTTATCACGACTCGATCAGTAGCACTCTTCAGATTCCGAAGTCTGGGAATTACCGAAACGATAGGGGTGGGAACCAGTCCAATTTTTGCAGTGATAAACCTTAACAGACAATTAAGGTGATACATGACACTTAAACATGTCATAATGTTACACCAGTAACAGTTAGACAAGGGGAAAATGGCGTTGATTTTCGCCTGACAAATTTATCAGATAATTTGCTGTCTATATTTTTCGGTGATATGAGTTTAGTGCAAAATAACATATAGCGGATAGATCAGTTTTCTATATCTTTCCCAAAACAAGGCCGTTGACGTTATGAAACAATTTTTGATAACAATATGACTATGTCTTAGGTTACCTTAATTGTGATGGAAACGACATATGAAGCTCGCATGTGGGTTACGTAAATAGGATTTTAAATTGAAGTGCATCATCTGTATGGTCTTTGCATATTGACACAGATGAACGTTATATGAAAATTGATATGCAACACTTAAATTACCATTGATAGGAATACGTCCAATATATTGATTTAATTTTTATTAAAAGGAAGTTAAAGTCGAGGATTCTTTTTGTATTTATCGTAATTTCATATCTTCCGTCTGCTGCTAGGATGATAATACATGGGTCACATATTTCGTCCATTACATGACATTGCCAAAGATAACCTTTGTTCTTCTTTCATTCAGAATGCATTGCATAACAATCTCGACTGATTCATTTCGCAGATCTTGCATGTATGAATACTCCTGAAAAGGTATCATCTCCAGTTTTTTCCCATTTATGATTGCAAAGATTCAAATTGCAAAAATTAAATTACAGATGCCATATCCAATTTTAATCTTGTCGTGGGAATTTTGAATATAATTCCATGTCGTTTTGATAATCAGGGAAGAATTAGATACGTAATTGATGTTATCATTTTTAACACCGAGCTGGTGTATATGTTTGAGCGAAAAATTAAAATTTCTACTTAAAACAGAGCCAAACATTTAATAAAAAAAATTAAGGAAAGTGGTCTTCTTTCGACACAAAAGTTTTAATTGCATATTCGTACCTAGTTCGAAAAACCAACAATAACGATGATATTAATAACAACAAATAATAATACAGTAAAATACGCTTATATCGAACACGATTATGATGAATTGACGTTTATAGCAAAGTGAATTTCATTTCCATTGTCTTTAAAGTATATTGAATACATAATGGATATAACGAATTACGGTTATAACGAAGCAAAATTGTTTGTCCCTTGTCTGCAATTTTATAAGCGAATGTAGGGCCATCTTAAAAAAAATTGTTTGGTTGCCCTCTCTCGACCGACTGGATAAAATGGCCCAACTCAAAACTTTTTCTTAACCTCCAGGAAGCAATTATTTTTTATGAATTCTGGAAAATAGATTTTGAAAATTCAGCATTAAAATTTTCTGAGAAAAAAAAATTCTCGCATACCTACCGACCCATTTTTTCATCCTGAGTCGGGAGAGGGCAAACAAACATTCTTTTAAAGTTTGTCTAGTATAATAATAATAGTATATATCGTTATATTGCCAAAGCGGCGTTAATAAGATGTTAATTCTGATAATCAGATTAAAAAAAATATTTATGAAATCTTCCAGATATGGTTTTAGTTCAATGTTGCATTCCCGTCTGAAAATACACCCCACCCACCCCACCCCATCCCCTCTTTTCAAGATGAACCTACAGGCTACTATTTAAAATAAGTTGATGGAGAAACTTTGAAAGCAGTTTCGCGCAAAACTAATCATTGACTGTAAACGTATATTGTATATTCGTATAAAATTCGTTTTTAAAGAAAAAAAGGTTGAAATCTTAGTGGCCCTGGGAAAGTGTTAGCTGTGAGTCATGGAAGATACCCACCTACTCAGTTGGAACATGACACGTGCTATTTAGTGAAATTCTAAACCCTAAACAAATGGGGGAATTGAATCCGAGGTGAATTATAGCAACGATTTTACAAAATTGACATTTCTATTGCGTATTAAATGTCCAAGGTTTTTCTCGCCGACAATGATACCGCCTGATGCATATTTATACACGAGGAAAGTTGAGCCGAGCACTTCAGTTTGTTATAATGATCTATCGTGCCATTCCAATCGAAGAAACATTTGCAATTTGAGGGTTCCATGGGTCAAATTACATTTTTAGCCTAATAGCTACCCTCCGCCAAGATTTCGGAAATCAATGGTTTCTGGATGGTATTTCATCCTTCTTGGGTTTTTCTTCGTGTTTTTCTTGAGCTATTTGAAATATGAATCAATAATTATAGACATTGGTCGTATATAGAAACAGGGCTTAACTAGTACGTAATATACATGCAAAGAGGGCATTCATAGTGAAAATACAATTTTTTTTACACCAGTATCATACGGTTTGTCCCTCTAGAAATTTTATCAAAATTGTTCAAACAATAAAGAAATAAATTTATATATATTTATTAAAGTTTCTAGGCTATATAAGAAGAGGTGTTAAAACATCATGAAAACTAGTAAATATAAACCAAGTATACTATATTTTATAGAAAAATGGGGACAAAGGCGTCGATACAAAAAAGTCAATATGGCTTAAAATTACAAATATAATTGACCAAGACAAAAAAAGTAGTTATAAATTTAAAAACCATGAAACATTCCCACTTCGGGTAAATAATAACAATATTCGCAATCACTTCCGGTTTATAAATTGTAAGCGTTTTATCGCCTTCTGCAACGGAAGAGACAGAAAGGCACGTGATCATTTGGCGCCAAATATCCCATCTCCTTGGGAACAAAGAACAAGATTTCACAGGCAAAATTTACGAAAACAAGCATCAAGTCTCGAATTTCAGCAATTTTGACATTACTTGGATGTTGGGTGCAAAGACAAAATGAAAATGATACGGTTGTGTACTTGGTTCCTGGCGAAATATAGGCACGATCTCTTTACTCCTAAATTAAACACAGATGTTTTGAAAACCGTATAAAATTACATACATTGAGAAATACCAAAGTAATGATCGAAGAAAATGCACCAATATGCGTGCATCCCACTGCTTTTAATCCCAATAGTTAAGTACTTCGCTCAATGTTTTAAGATTTTGTTTCAGCGAATTAGAAAATTTCTTGTGATTTCATGGTGTTTGTGTCCAGTGATCGATGGTGATGATCAATCAAGTAATATATTTCATACACATTTTTAAAAGATTATTTGTTTTCCCCATGCTTTAATCTAAAAATCACTGAAAAAAGGTATAGGAAAAGATTCAAGAGTATCATTTTTCTACATTTGTTTATCATTATTAAATTGTCTTCAAGCTGGAAGCGCTAAATGGGTTTTATCAGTCAGTCTGAACGTTTCCTCTTAATTATTGTTAAAAGTTTGATATCATAATTAAAATTTTCACAAAAAGTGTTTAACGAATTTATGGTTTATTTTTCTGGCTTTCCAATGAAGTTATTCAAATTACACCAAAAATACTCCCGAGATTGACATTTGAGGATCGGGTACACCAATTGTGTAGCATATGGGCGAGGCTTCTTTCTTTTTAACATCTGAAAGATTACATGAGATAAATAAACATGCACTGAGGATAGGAAAACAACTCCCATTTGTAACTTCAAATATCAATGTACCATTACAGCGCTGAATTAGAATCAAGCTTGGGTATGTATGTATAATTAATATTTTTTTTTCATAAGTAGGTCAATTTTAATACACTCTGTTTTGTAAATTGAAAAGCTAAGATGACATCGTTAAAATATGATTAACAGATTAGAAATCTTTTGTTTCTTTTCATTCAGATACACCTGAAGTTTATGTGCAAATTATTTTACAGTATATATCGGATGTCAAAATAACGACTTAAATATCGTCATACCTTAAATTTTAAAAAAGTGTCAAATTTGAAAAAATAAAGGCCTATTGATTATGATAATTACTGTAGAATAAGATGACACAATTTACGGTTATTAGTGTGCACTATACCTTATCATGACGGTGTAAAAAAAAAAGTAATGAAAGGCAAAACTTAGAGAAAATAGATTTTCCTGTCTTGAGGTAAGAGAAAGATATGCTTTCAAGAGAGAAAAATTAAAATCTTACAAGGTAAAAGAAAACTTGAGTTAAAATATTTTAATAACTTCCGTAAATTTTATTTATTTATTGTCGAATATTTTTAGCTTTGAATTGTATATCAAATTTACGTTTGTCTGTATTAAACCTTAGTACCAGAAGTAGTGAGTACCGATTTTTGTACATATTTTCGGTAGAAATTAAAAATAAATTTAAATAATCAAAAAATTAAAAAAAAAACAACAACAACACTTTTTTATAGATACTATATTATTTCTTCAAGCAACACTTTATTTTTCGTTCAGTAACACGTATATATAATATATATATCAGCTACATGTTTAACACAAAAACGTAAAACTATCTCAATATGTCCTTGAAAACCAAATCTTTAAAATGGGCCCCTCCTTTTTCAGGCTGTCTAACACCTGTCCTGTTCGTTGACGATTTTGTGAAAGATTTCTTAATCAAATTACCTTCTTGTCACTCGGAAAAGACAGCCCATACGACCACTTGCCGCGTATCATTTCACCAAACTAACTTTTCATAACAAGTAAGGCGAAATGAGTCCTTTGATTCCATGCTATATCACGTTTATGCGACCGAAATATAATCGCCTTAAAAGGCCTTCGGGTGTCCGATTTTGTTTTGTTCTAATGGAGCGATAGGGGTATCGGATTACGAGGTAATTTATTTGATACATCTAATAAGTTACAAAAAATGTCCCCATCTTTTATGAAACTCTGAAGTAATTGGATCCAATGCTACGAAGGGTATATCCACCATGCTTCGTCTTGCACGCTTAGCAAACAAATAACATGTCCGGTGTCTGACAACTTTCTTCATTTGATTGTAGCAAGCACAACTGGTTAAGGGAGGTAGGCTATGTTACGAAAGATAACTTTTAAACATGATAGGTGTAAAGTGAGATTTAGGTAATAATATAGTATTGGAATGCAATATGAGATATTCGATTTAATCCTCCTTTTTCAAAAATGTGTGGAATTGTATGTTTTTGGGTGAGGCGGTAGTTTTGAAGGTGACAGTGTTGTCTCATAACAATACTCGACATGCTATTCTATCTTGACCCCGCATACATTAGGAAACGCTGATTGGAGAATGTCAATTTTTTTTTCTATTGTAGGACTATGCCGAGTCTACTATGAACGAACTTCTGGGTCTTTATGGATTTGAGAAATTCGACAGAACAGAAACAGAACATCTTAACGTAGACAGATTCACCAGTCCTAGAGCAGACGATCGCCTATCGCCGCCAGATGACGCTTCACGTGATGACGTCAGTGTAGACAGTTGCGATAGTTCGTCAGGAAGGAGCGATCTTTCTAAATATAACAGAAGTGAGTACTAAAATATTTCTCTCTTTTTTGCAAGATACGTGGACAGATTTTCATTTCTCTGTTTACTGTCTACCATCAAATGAAATGATTATCTATTTAGAGCAAGGATGAGAGGCCTTAAACACTTATCTCTTGAATCCATAGGTGTATTCATTTCAAACATGTTGTGTATTTATCAATGAAATTCGATGAAATATAATCCCATTTGAAAAGTTGATAGTATCTGATATCAGATAGAGAATGCACTTAATGTGCACAAAACATTTATGTTATCGTATCATATCCTCCAACTGCCGCCATCAAGAATTCTGCCAGCATTCTTATAATGAAACAGATATCGTTTCTCAAACTTGTAGCGGTCTAGAAGGCTTTTGCCTTTTTGTGGTGTTTGATTTCAACCAAATCATATTAGATTCGATGAACGCTATGACCTAGGGCTATCTTTTTATTTTTACACGCGATTTCAACTCCGAACCGTATAATTTTGCCTTATTTGAATCATCTGCCACATCTGAATGTAAACGATACTCCGGGCAAAACCAGGGGTATCTTTTTTCTCTCTTACTTTAAAATCTGGCAAGAAACAGTTGGTTTGTCTGTCAAAATATTATTAGGATGTGGTATCTCCGCCGAAAAATCAATCGTGCCTCGGTGAGTACAAATAATTTAATAAAATATATAGTGCAGACGGTTTGATATCAGTCATCGTCTATGATGTAAGATGTCCGTTTTTCTGGCATTGCTTTAAAGTCAACAGCGAATAATAGTAGCACTTATATGTTTTGTTGTTAGATATTTTAGAGATGCTGACTTCTATTCTTTCTAGACAGAATGCTTTCCGGAGATAAAAAAAATAGTAAGACAATACGGTTCAATCAAATTCGAAGGGTCCTGTTTCTTGTTTGATGCCGAATCGAACGTTTACTTGTCAGAACGTAAGAAACTTGATCGGCGCGATGCGTTTGGTTCCCTGTAAAAAGAAATCGAATGCTGCGCGGTGCGTTTGTTTCCCCTGCAAAAAAAGAAATCGGAGGCTTTAGCTTCTACAAACTGATATAAAACTCCCTCGATTGGGAGACTGATGGAAGTTTCGTTGGAAACCCGACTACCATCTAAATCATCGTTAAAATGGCTGGTGAAACTTGAAACCCCATATTTCCTTTCAGTTCGAAAATTTCCTGTCTTAATTCATATAGATTTGCAAAGATTTGCGTGCTGGTTTTCCTTTGCACGCTAACTTCACTTAGTCTTTCTTTTATTTTTTTTTCTGATTTTCTGCAAGGTATAACTTTCAGTCCGAATATTTCTCTGTTATATTATTGTATACAAACATAAAATGGAAGCATATGCAATCGATAAAAAGCACCTGCTTATTAATGAAGAAATGTTAGTGATATAAATATTTTTTAAGCAATAATAGTTTTATTGTGTTGAAATATAGTTCTTGAAACATAATTTGAACTGTCCATGAACTTGGACCATATAATATTTCAACAACAAAGCGGTATGGTACCTGTTTGTTTTCGGAACCTCAACAATCTTAAGACGGACCACCAATTAAAAAACATTTGTCAAAGAGGTTGGATTATATTACCAATCTAATACCTAAACTAAACATTTTCATCCCATGAAGAATGCTGAATCTAACGAAATGCAGCTTTGAGACGCAAGCGTCGATTTTGTAAAATGACTACAGGCCCGTAGCAATTTAACGGTTTTAAAAGGGAAGAGGGGGCAACCTCCCAAAAAAATATGACAAGAAAAAAAACCCCGTAAAATGTACAAACTCGAAAATCCTATTTTGTGGTGGTGGTGGTGGTGTGTGTGTGTGGGGGGGGGGGGGGAGGGAGGGGTATTGGATCTAAGTCCTTCTCGAACTTTTTGGTATATTTTTTTTTCAAATGCTTGAATTTGCCAGTGCTCGACCTTACAGCAACAAAAAGTAATTGGGGGGGGGGGGGGGGAGCGGCAGTCAACATCTAAATGAAAATTTACATATTGAAACTACAGAAAAAGACTATACTCAGAAAGAGTGCTCCCCCGCGTTCTATATAGCTAGGCATGGAATGGCTTGACTGTTCATGTTCAATACACAATTTAGCTAGCTGCTTATAGTTACAAATTTTTCGACAAACGTACAAGGCACATCTGAGCTGAACACATTTATGTTTATTTCGTAAAAACAATATGACCTGTATAATTGAGAATTTTATTTTGCTGTAAAAATGTATACTTTTATGGCACTTCTGTTTTTAATTTAAATCTATATTGTGGAATGTAGTGCTATAAAAGCAATCAATTTTGCAGGAGTTGTTAAGCCTTCGTATATTCCGTCATTGAAAAAGGAAATTACAATTTTACAACAAAAAATTTCAACAAGAAAATTGCAGCTCACATTGCCTTAAAACCCAACTTTTAAAGTATTATCCCATCAGTTTTCCGGATGTAAGATGGATAAACAGGTTTTGAAAAATGCTAGAAATAAAACGAAAAAAATGCATGCAAGAGAACAGCATTTTAATGAAGTTGGTCAGTAAATGGTTTCGCTTTCGTCTTTAAAGGTAGAAGTAACAGCGAGACCAATCTTGCTGCGCAACACCGCAACCTAGTCACGGCTCTGACCAAGAAACACGGACTAACGGGTATGGTCATTGGTGAACTGCATGGTTCAGTTAATGCACGGAAAATTTCCTCATCCCAATTTTTGCCGTTGTGTTTGTCCTATTTAATTGTTTTGTTGTTGTTTCCCATTTAAAACACACCCTTTCTCATACATTTACAAATAATAATTATTAACGTACATAAACCTTGTGTTCAAACGCTTGGATTTCTTATAGCATCAGTTTATTAATATATTTACAAAGATTGTCTTTAGATACAATATATATGAATTATTCTGATTTCTTTACGACATATCGATAAGAGCTCGATATACATGTATATGACCTCTCGACCTGTAGCATACATTTAATTTTTAACAGAAAACCAAGGTAAGAGTGAGAAACTTAGAAAGAAAACAAGCTCGATAAAGGGGAAACAAGTAAAATTTTATGAGGACAATCGAGTTTCCTTCAGGTATTTGGCATCCAGCGCAAACCACTTTATATGTACAGTACCAGTGATGGCGAGCAGGTGTAGAAGGCTCAGCAATGCTTCCATTCTCCTCCAAAATCTAATTTGCAATTTGATCTTTCTTATGACATAAGTAGAGCACATGCAATATTCCTAAAGATTTGGGGTTCTCTTGAGGGACAATCTATTGAATGTAAATCTATGGTGTTTCTGTGTACTTCTGCAAAATGACAATAAATAACAAAAAATAATAATAATAAATAAATAAATAAATAATACAATTGCTATAATGCAGTATAAAAGTGGACACGAAAACAAACCTCTTTCTTTATGTGCATATTGCAAATGATAACTGAAATCAGTTATGTAAGCGAAATCATAAAATAAGAAACCCATTTCTGAGTAGAGTGCATGTGGAATTTATTATATTTTTAAAGACTTCTGACGATGCATTCTCCAAACAAAACCTTTTAACGAAAACTGAATTGACATTTCTTCCGACGCATATGTATATAAAATACAATCAGAAATGATCCATGTTGTCTTTAAGAAGTTATTAGAAATTCTGTTTTTCTTTCTCTGTCTTTGAGAGTACAATACATTTATAAGACATTGACAGAATTCCATTTTGGTAACATCTTAATAACATGAAAGGTGATCTCTCGTGGGATGCACGGGAAAACCTATCCCTGAATATCGTCCGTCAGCTAAGTCTAGCTTTTTATGCACGAAATTTGAATTTACAATGCGTCTTAATTACACAGCAACATGAAAATTGAGTAAAATGAGACAGCCGTCCATCTTTGGTGGCGTGTGTTTTCTGTAAAGACCTGTTTGTACATAGATATCTAATAACGAAAACTAAAACCCCTTAAGAAGACTTTGGATATTTCCAATCCAAGACTTAGGCAGAAAATCATCTTAGTTAATAATCAATGGATATCTGATTTCGTGACCCGAAGCGGTGAAAAAGTCATGTCTCGTATACAGGCCTTTGATTCAGTAGGGATCAAAATTCCCTATCGTTTGTTAAATGTAATCTAGAACCGCCTGACTTTGAAATTTGAAAGCGCTAGGAAATACATGTCTTTTATCCTGCGTCATCTGTCAATGCTGCTTCTATTTATTCAGTCCTTAGCTAAATATTAGTTAGGTTTCAGAGTCATGTTCCAACCTTCTCACAACTATTCTGTTAAACCCTGAGTAATTTGATAGTAAACTGTTTTTTATGTGCCTTTCTTGTTTTATCTTTGTGCAAGATATAACCCAAGCATAAATGCTTTAATTATAAATCAAACACACTGATATATTTCACGCTGGTTTGAAATTTGATGCTTTGGAAATATATTTTTTGCTTATTAAGACTGAAATTAACCATTGTCTGTGATTTGCAGGTGCCCCCGAAGGAACCATTCCATCTGGCTCCATTGTCTGCGCTTGGTGTCAGAAGCTAGGCGTCAAACTGTTTACTCTGAAAACCAGCACCTCTACTAAGGCTTTCTGTAGTGAGCTCTGCTTTGATCAGTGTCGAAGAGCATCTTTTAAAAAGAACAAAATTTGTGACTGGTGTAAACATGTACGTCATACTGTGAATTACGTAGACTTTCAGGACGGTGAAACGCAGCTACAGTTTTGCAGTTCAAAGTGTCTAAATCAGTACAAAATGAATATATTTTGTAAAGAGACTCAGGAACACTTGCAACAGATTTCTCCAACAGAGGGTAAATCTGATACAGAGTGCATGTCTGATCAGCAGATTCTAATAACCCCTGAACTTTGGCTCAGCAATGCAAAACAAAGCGCCAAAAACAGGCGGAAGGATACGGGAGCAAACAGTGAGGATCCTGAAAAATCGTCCCAACATTTACCTCAGAGACCCGATTCCAAAACTGATCAGAGCAGACGACAGTCTCCCTTGTCTGTGTCCTCAAGCTCTGATAAACTTCCTGTCACAAACAGAAGCATCTTGGAAAGAATGCACAGTCGTGATAAAAGCAAACGTAGTTCACTGAAAGACAGTTACCATGAGCGATCAGTACCAAGATCAAAGTCCCCAGATAGTGTACAGTCTACACAAAGTCTTGGAATGCCCCTCGTTCCTCCACCTATATGGGCCCCAGCTTTTGGTATGGGCATTCCTCCCATGGGTGCTGTTCCACCATGGTTCTACCCAGGATTTATGCCTCCTGGTTTTATGCCTCCTAGTATGCCTATGGATGGGCTAGCAGTGTTGCCTACAAGAACTGCAACACCCACAGCCTCAAACAGCAAACGTTTCTCCGTTTCACCAAATTACGAGAGCGAGTCTTCTAAAACCGCTAACGAGGATCGGAGTAGAGCGTCATCTCGACAGGTAGCGTCAGTCCGAAGTAACACCCCTAGGGCGAGTACTCCACGAAATGCGACATTCTCAACCCCCACTCCACCGAACGCTGCCAGTCTTCCGAACCATGTAGGTATGTATGGCCAAAATGGAATGAATCCTACAGCGTGTGGGAGTATCCCTCCTCTAACTATGATACTTCCGGTTCCGGTACCGTTACCACTGCCGGTCCCTATCCCACTTCCTCTGCCAATCACAATGGAAAAAATAATGGAGGTGTATAACAAAACCAAAGAGGATACGCCTTTGAAAGTGAACATTAAAACGGAACCTGAGTTTGAGACTGAAAGAAAAGACTTTCCTCGATTCAAAGGAGACGTGAACGAAAATGAAACCATTTCAAAAGACATGCTTTCGTGTGCATCTTGTAGTTCTGACAGAAGTGAGAGTGTAAATTCGTGTGTTTCTCCCATGTCTGACGTCAGGTATGCCTCACAGTCGGATCTTCTGAAACGTCCATTTTCTCCAAATATGGAAGGATCATTGGATCTCTCGAAACGAGCGCGTTTAGAGGACTCTTTTTCAGACCAGTCGTGTGATGGTGCAATAGATTTGTCAAACACATCTCAAAACAGGCATAGGCTGTATAAAGGAAAAGAAAATAAAGACAATGTTGAAAGTGAAAATTCATCGGCACAGGGATCAGAATCTAACAATAAAAGTGGAGATTCTGGACTAAAAATACCCAAAATCCACATCATTAGCCCCCGCCATGACCCCCCTCTATCTCAACAATTACCTCTTCCGCCTGTCGACCCAAAGTACGCCAGCAGAAGAGGTTTGATTCTAGATGCTCCTCGAGTTCCTAAAAAACCGAGGAGTCCGTCTCCTGATCGTCGATCTTACGCCCGATCAGTTCCGAAAGACGTAATGGAAGCTGCTCGGAGAAGGTGCATGAGAGCAAGAATAAAGACTAAATGATTGTAATTAACTTGTCTAATTATTATTGAAAGTATATAGGGAAATTAAGATAGTATTAATGGCTTACGTAACATGTGCTTAAATCTCATCCTTATACGTACTCTAAATCTGTAGGGTTTTTTTTTTTGGAGATCGACTCTTTCAAGACAGAAAATTCTTCTCTTTTTTGAGACTAAAGCTTAGGTATTATTTTTTATTAACAAGTGCAATTGTTAGTACTTAAGATTGTGCAATATTGTGTTTGAAACGAATGTCGATTCGTTTAGAGGATCCCTTTTTTGTCATATTTTGTTACGTTGCAACAAAGGATTGTTGATTTCGCTCTTGAAATTTAAGGAAGAAGTAAATGCCATAAATGTGCTGCATTATTTGTTTCTTTCTGTAAAAAGCAATTTTGTAAGTAGTTCATTGTATGTAGTAAGCTTTATCAACATTGATGTTTACGAAAGAAAAAATTGTAATTTTGAAATAAAAAAAAAAATAAAAGAAATTCTCGTCTTTATATAGTGCTACATATATGAATTCCATATTACGAACCTATAATAATTATTTACCAGTAGTTTGAATGGGCGAAGAGAGATAACTGCTGAAAATCCTTTATCGAACTTGGAAAAAGGAGTAGTTTTATACAGTTAGAGTGATCTGCCCTTTAATCTAAATCTACAGTGCATTTCTCAAATAGTAATCAACCTAAGCTTTCTTAACATTTCCTCACTTATTGACCTATATAAAATTGAACACATGCATTTTCCCTATTAAGTAAGTGTGATTTCTGTTTAACAATACTTCCCTATCCTTTTTCAGTCATTCTACAAAAACATGACCAATTAAGAATTTTTTATGTCGCTTGCAAATTTACCGTTGTAATATCTTAATTATAAATTTAAAGGTCGATTTCAGCTCTAAGACTTAAAATACATACATGGTTTTGTAAATATTCACCGATGTATATGCAGTTAAAGTTTTGATATGAACATAATGCAATGTTGAAAATCTTAATGTCGCTTCATTTATATACAAATTTCAAGATGAAATGTTAAGCCGTAAAATCGTTCAGAATAGAGTGCAATGAATGTTAAAAAATGTCTTTTATCCTTTAGAAAAAGAAATCAAACCATTTCTCGCAAAGAAATGCATAGATCTCTTTTCATGCGAATTTATAAGCATGTCGCTTAAAATCGATTAACTTCCGTATAACGATTTTGTTTTAAATTTCACGCATAGAATGCAGATTTCAAAAAGAACTGAAACTTATCTGAAAGTGACCACGGAACCTTATATCATCGATTCTAGTTGCGAGTCAGCTATTTTACACGATTACATTTTCGACATAACAAAATGAATTAGACAAAAACAGTTGTCTCTCTTAAAAATTTAACTTCCGTAACGTAATTTAGGAAAGATTTTGCATTTAAGGTATAAAATTTTTGATTATTTTGGGAGCGAAATGCTTCATACTTTTGTATAATATCCTAAAACAAACTTTGATTTTAACTATTGAAGAGAATTTTAACTTTTATTGTTGGGAATTAACTTCCGTAACGATTAACTTCCGTAACGATATTTTTCCCGAAAATTTAATTTAAATTCGGATTCATGCGAGACTTCAGGAATCATACTTTAGCGTTCTTTACTGAACATCAGAAACGAAAAATTGGTCAAATTCAGCTTTATTTAAAAAATAATAAGGCTTGATCAAGCATTAACTTCCGTAACATTACCTTAAAATCAATGGTATCTTGAAATTGTTGTAAAAAGTTAACGAAACCAGATTTGTGGACAATACTTTGTTTTCAAGTTCACTGATAGGTCCTTTAGAGAATTATGATGTTCATTTTGCTATTTGAAACAATTATTTTTTTCGTGTTTTTTACTCTGAATTGGTCCATTTATCGTAGAATGACTGTTTTACGCTTTCCTCGGTGTTCATTGTTAAAAGTGAAATAGATAAACTCAATACATGTATTTACACCTTATACAATATAATATTTTCAATGTCCAAAAAAAAAAAAAAAAAAAAAAAAATCATTTTTCAGAAGTAAATAGAGGGATCCTAAATCGTGATGAGTCCATGAGTAGACGAGGGCATTTTATGCTGATAAACTGTCATTTAATTCCTTGGTGATTTCGATTTGTTAATGAGTGTAAGTCCATGTCCAACGTATGACAACTTACACATTTAAATAATTGATGGAAACAAAATTATGATGTAGTCAAATAAATTTGCTTACATACTTTACTTTTGATATTATTTAAGGCAAAGCACTGATTAAAAGGGGGGGGGGGGGAGTTGAGAACTTTTTGTGTACTTCTATCCAAGATATTTTGTGTGTGTGTGTTGATTCATTAATATTTTGATCTCAAAATCAATAGGGGTCTTTTAAGGCAATAAAACATTTCACATAAAATTTCATTACAAAAGCTGATTCCAGTGGATTTCCTTATTACCTAGCTGGAAAGTTCTTCAATAATAGCCAAAGCTCTAAGGGCAAAAATAATGGAATCGGGATTTCCTGGCAATATGCACTATACATACCCTGTCCTAATTAAATATCTGCAAAGTTTGACGAAGTTCTGTGCAGAGGTTTAAGAGGAGTTGCGCTGACAAACTGTTCATCTCTATACTCAAGATATGGCTAAAATCTAAGTTGAAAAAGGTTCAAATTCCCAGAAAAATAATGTAATCGGATTTTCCTAACAATATGCACATCTACACACTGTGTCCTAAATATCTGCTAAGTTTGACGAAATTCTGTGCAGCGGTTTAAGAGGAGTTGCGCTGACAAACTATTTATCTCTATATTCTAGATATGGCCAAAAATCTAAGTTGAAAAATGCCCAAATTCCAGAAAAATAATGGAATCTGAATTTCCTGGCAATATGCACATCTACATACTGTGTCTTAAATATCTGCAAAGTTTGACGAAATTCTATACAGCGATTTAAGAGGAGTTGCGCTGACAAACTGTTCATCTCTATATTCAAGACATGGCCAAAAATCGAACTTTAAATGTGCCCAAATTCCCAGAAAAATAATGGAATCAGAATTTCATGGCAATATGCACTTCTACACACTAAATACCTAAATATCTGCAAAGTTTGACGAAATTCTGTTCAGTGATTTAAGAGGAGTTGCGCTGACAAAGAAACAGGACTTACGGACTGGTCAAAAACATTATACCCCACGCAACTTGAGGGGTATAATAAAAAAATAGAATTTCATTCTTCAGGTCATAATATTGTGGATATAACCACAAACGACTGAAAAAGTGAACAATTGTCGGGTTTACCACAGTAAACATCATTAAAATTCCATAATGTTCAATTCTTTGGGACTCCTTCCCTAAAATTAGTTAGATGTACATACACGCGTAGCATTTAAATGTAATTTCTCGTGATTGCGATGAAAGGGAGACTACTACGACACTGGATGTGTACGAGGGTTGATCCAAAAATTCGTGGAATTTCTTAATATTTTATTTATTTATTGGTGGAAGTGATTGAAAATTACAGATGGAGATATAAACACTAGTTGATTTTTTTTTAATAAAAAATATTTCAAATATTCATGATAGTAACACTTTGGCAGTTGCCATAGAAACGGATGTTTGAAAATGCGGGGGAGACATTTATTCGTTCATTATCATTTCAATACTTAATACGCACTTGTGAAGAAAAAAACACGTTAAATAGCACATGAAACGAAAATGTTGTCATTATAACGATTGCTTGACCTCTTATAAACCTTTGTGTGAAAGTTTTATTGATTTTACTGGATATTTAGTTTTTTTATTGATGATTTGTTGTTACATGTAATCATGACATCGTTAGATAACGTCGAAGTAAGGTCAAGTAATAAGTGTTGTGACAAGAGGCCCATGGGCCACATCGCTCACCTGAGCACATTGGCTAGGAAAAAGAACAAATCAGTTCAGTATTGAAAAGTTTAAAGGGGGGGGGGGCGAGGGGAGGGGACTTGAATTTACTACCTGAGGATGCTTCCATATCAATATAATAAATGGCTTTACTGCTCTTGAGCAGAAGATTTTTAAAGATTTTTTTCCTATATATTCCCTTGTTCAAAATTTGATCCCCCATTGTGACCCCACCCTACCCCCGGGGTCATCATTTGAACAAACTTGAATCTACTCTAGGATGCTTCCAATATGACTAAATATGGCTTTTATGTTCTTGAAAAGATTTTTTCCTATATATTCCTATGTAAAACTTTGATCCCCCATTGTGGCCCCACCCTAACCCTGCGGGATCATGATTCGAACAAAGTTGAATCTACACTATCTGAGAATGATTCCATATCAATATGACTTAACAAAGCTTTGCTGTTCTTGAGAAGAAGATTTTTCAATTTTTTTCTCCTATATATTCCTATGTAAAGCTTTGATCCCCCATTGTGACCCCACCCTACCCCCGGGGGTCATCATTTGAATAAACTTGAATCTACACTACCTGAGGATGCTTCCATATCAATATGACCAATAATGGCTTTGCCATTCTTGAGAAGAAGATTTTTAAAGATTTTTCCTATACATTCCTATGTAAAACTTTGATCACCCATTGTGACCCACCCTACCCCCGGGGGTCATCATTTGAACAAACTTGAATCTACACTACGCCTGAGGATGCTTCCATATCAATATGACCAATCATGGCTTTGCTGTTCTTGAGAAGAAGATTTCAAGAGATTTTTTTCCTATATATTCTTATGTAAAACTTGTCTATTGTGGCCCCACCCAACCCCCGGGGGTCATGATTTTAACAAACTTGAATCTACACTACCTGAGGATGATTCAGATGCTATCAATTTTCACTAATTTGTAATTATCTCCCCTTGGAAGATTGCATGGCCCTTCATATGAAAAAATCTGAATCCCCTTCACCCAAGGATACTTTGTGGCAAGTTTGGTTGAAATTGGCCCAGTGGTTCTTGAGAAGAAGTCAAAAATGTGAAAAGTTTTTAGACAGACGGACAGACAGACAGCTAGACAGACGGACGCCGGACAAAATGTAATCAGAAAAGCTCACTTGAGCCTTCGGCTCAGGTGAGCTAAAAATCTCGGGAACACTCCGACTTAAACGCATATATTAGTGATACATGCGGTACAAAAGTGCAGTAAGCTCCAGTGGCCTGAGAAATTTAAAGAAAATAGAACTTCCATGGAGGATGATGAAAGGTGTGGCCACCTATTGGAAGGTCGTTTTTTTCCTCGTAGACAAGTTGAGAGCGTTAATGGACGTGGACCGCCGACGTACTGTGGTTGACATTGCTACTGAAATAGGAACATGAACCATGGAGCGTATTTTGAAAAATGATCGTAATAAAAAGAAAGTGGGTGCGAGATGGGTACCCAGGCTTTTCTCGAGAGCAGAAATGGCGAAAAGAATGCAGTGTTCTGTAGAATTACTTAGTCGATTTGAACATAAGGGTGAAATGCTCCTACAACGTGACGTGACATACCTAATGACGTTACG